TATATATATATGAAAAGCAATGGAAGGAAAATTTTGACCTTCAGAGCAACTTTCTTCAGCTTGTTCATTGCACGAAATTGCTTCATTCTAGTCAAGACAGCAATGTCGAGAGGCTTATCAGATGCATCCCCATCTTCTCTCATCCATGGATGGTCTACATATCAAAAAATAAACGAGTGTTTATTTTTATTTTTAAAAAGAGACATTTGCAGAAGTTGCCCTTGGAGTTTAGTGTAATCTCTTCCGCAATTTCTAATATCCCCTGCCCTATTTGCTATATCGGTTAAATGTGCAAAACAAACACAAGGAACTTGGAAGGAGATTTGCAAATTTAGAATATTATACGATTTTTTTTGTGTAATTATGCTAATAGCTTTAATATGTCTCATTAAATGTAAAAGAAGATGCATGTTTCTAACGTGAGTTTAGCAACGACGTGAAAAGAATAGGAAAAAAAAGCTAAAACTTACTACACCAAGCAACCATTCCATAGAGTATTGTCTAATTTATGCTCTAGAAAGAACAACTTACTCAAGACTTCAACCGCACTAAGCCGATCTTTAGGATCAGACTGAAGCATCTTCTTCACGAGATCCTTGGCACTACTCGATATTGATGGCCATGGGTCAGAACTAAAGTCAAGGTGGCCCCGCAAAACGGAATCAAATATGCCTTGCTCATTTTCTAAAATTAACAGAAATGGAAAAGAACTGGAAAATATCAGTGTGTGTGCAAATGGAAGCCAAAGGTACTGATCCTTTTATTTCTCTTTCTTTTTTAAGCCAAATGCTTAACAATCTCTTTTCTTATCCAAGTGTTAGCAAACACTCTTAGTTCATTGAGCTTTAGCTGTGTACACCGAAACAAGAAATTTTCTTTCATTGAGACTCACCTCCCCAAAAAGGTGGGACACCACTGAGCAAAATATAGAGTATAACACCGGCACTCCATATATCAGCTTCAACACCATAATTTCTACGCAATACTTCAGGAGCCACATAATACGCACTCCCGACAAGATCTCTAAATACTTCTCCTGAAAAACATCATAATATCATATACCATGGGAAATATGAATTAACATGACAAATGACTCAATAAGGCACGATAGACCAAGAAACTAAACTTGTTTGTTATATCTATGATCAAGCAAGATGGACAGTTTCTTGGTTTTAGAATACACAACAAAACTATCCTTTGAGATATCACTTGTTCAATTCCTAAGCATTAAAAAAATAGAACTGCAAATGTATGAAACAGATAACTAGAATGTCAAATATCTTTGGGGGATCCAATTATAATCCTTGCATAAATTCCATTCCATCCCATAAGAACACAGTCACGGTAATCCTCAAGATAACAGCCATTTTTCTCAAAAATCCCACAAATAAACTAATTACCCGGTTTGAAAAACACAGACAGCCCAAAATCGGTTGCCTTGAGGGGCGAATTTTCATCCCCACTCAGAAACAAGAAATTCTCGGGCTTCAGATCCCTGTGCATCACCCCCATCGAGTGACAGGCGTGCACCACCGTCACAACCTGGCGGCACAGCCCCGCCGCCGCCCGCTCGGAGTAGTGACCCCTGGCGATGATCCGATCGAACAGCTCGCCGCCGGCGCACAGCTCCATGACGAGGTGCACGCTGTGCCGGTCCTCGAACACCTCCTTCAGCTCCACGATGTTTCGGTGGCCCGTCATGTGGTGCATGATCTGGACCTCACGCCGGACGTCGGCGACGTCGTCCGGCGTGGCGAGCTTCCGGGCGGCGATCGACTTGCACGCGAAGGCGCGGCCCGTGGCCCGGTGGGTCGCGAGGTGGGTCACCCCGAACTGGCCGCGGCCGAGCTCCCGCCCGAAAACGTAGATGGAGTGGATGTCGGACATGGGCCGGCCGAGGACGCGGCCGATTCCGGTGGGGAGAGGCCGACGGGGAGGTGGGGGCGCGTCCGCGGGGAGAACGGTGATGCTGGATCCGGATCCGGGCCCGGGACCATCTCCGCCGCCGTTGGGGGGCGTAGGTCCGGCTGCCGCGGCGGCGGAGGTGGGTGGGGGATTTGTGTAGAGATAACCACTGCTGCAGTTATTGCCCATTTTCTTGGTGAGATTTTCTGATGTTACAAGCAATGACTGCGCTGGTCAACTGTTTTTGGGGAAGAAAAGAACCGAAGAAGACTGAAGATTGATATTTATGTTGGGACTGTTTTTTTATTTCTATTTTTTTTTTGGTACAAATAAGGAGGCTAATGCCTTAAGCTAAGATATTACGGGGGTAGGATACCCCGAGAACATCATGTTCTAGCCACGGTTTTTTTATTTCTATTTTGTTTTTCTACCATTGTTCTTTTAATTTTCTTCGACCCTAAATGACGTTATTCGCCTTGTCTATTGAATTTTTGTCCAACTGGACCAAAAAATTTTTGGGTACGGTCAACTTTATGTATTTATTTATTTATTTATTTATTTATTTATTTATTTATTTCCATTGTGTGATCTAATTTTGGATTGTGTCATGTGAAGTGTCTAATTTGCTTTCAAATGTAGTCGTTGTTATTTGATTATTGATAGAAAAAAAAAGGAATAAGATCATTTGTTTCAAAATTATATTTTTTTTGGTACAGGGATCTTCCGGTTTCCAAATCCACAGGAAAACCGACTAATCCGAAATCGAGTCGGGTAGAACCACAAGGGCGGCAAAGCTCTCCCTCAAGAGTTTTAACACTGCTGCATTCTTAGGGCTCGAACTCGAGACCACTGGTTAAGCTGGAAGAGACCCAAGTCATCTCATCCAAGCGCTCTTGGGTTCAAAATTATATTTAAACTCATGTTTCGTCTATTTAGTAAATGACATAATTGTGTCAAAATTACATGTGTGGTCGTTCATAGTATGGAATAAAAAAAATTTAGAGTATGCTTTTAGATCATGCAATAATTTCCTACAAAATAATAGGTGAGCACATAGAATGGTTGCATAAGTGTTATAATATATACTTGTAAGTTGTCTCACATCATCTATATAGAGAAAATAGCAACTTATAAGCCTAGTGAGCTACTCCTCGTACTATCAATTAGCTTTAGGGTTTAATCCCACTAAGCATACACTTTTTAGATATTTTTTCCTTTAGTGTCAGTTTAGTTTTTGCATCATTTTTTCAACAATGACAAAATACAAATAATAATGGAACCTACTTTTTCGATACAAAAAATGAGTTATGTTGAAGGAAATATTTTGATTTCCATCGAGAGATCGGTTTAGTGATGTATTTCCCAATATCTTTTAAGGTAAGTGAATACATGAAATATAACCTCGTTGACGTAGGTTTTTTTTTTTT